CATATGATATTTTAAAATCTTATAAATCCATATTGTCCTTTCAAATCTTATAAATTCTATTAAAATTCTTTAAAATCTAATCTTATGAAATTTTGATTGTAAAAAAAGTCTTTTAAAAAAGTCTATAAAGTCTCTCCAATTCTAAATAATCTTTTAAAATCTATAAAAAAATTTAGCTCAAAAAAATATTTTAAAATCTTAATCTAATACACCCCCCTTAAATTATATGTGAAAAATTAGCACTTCCAAAAGAAACGGGAGAAGGATCATATTCACAACATCCACATTAATGTGATAATAAAAATAAAGGACATTTTTTTTTACCAAAAAAATAAATAAAGGACATATTTTCAACAAAAAGAATAAAGTACGTATTGATTTGGCTATATAATAAATAAAAATATATTTAAATATATTATCGATTTATTTTTTAATAATTTAATTTTAGTATATTTCAAGATTTTTTTTATTTGTTAAATTCAATTCGTTTATTTATTTATATTGCAATATATGCTTAACCCAATAGCCATTGTTGCACCTTTTTTTTTTTTGATAATCTCCATTCTTGCACTTTTATAAGAACATCAGGATATATACCTAATAATAGGTCTCGCATGAATTTTCCTTGTATTCTTAAATTACAGTGACAATACTTGACAACCGCTTAAAAAAATGTAAAATATTGTAATTTAAATATAAAAATATGAAAATGTAACAATTTAGAACTAATTTACGAATTTATAGCAGTCAATTTGTGCACAACTGGTTGCTCACAAAATTAGGCATGACAGGAGGCCAATTGTGCCTCGTTGATCACGCTTAAAATCAACATGATTGCCTGTGAAACGCGCCCCAATTTAAGCATGATTGATACTTAGTTGTGCATGATACTAGACGCAACTAGTTGCTTTAGGGTTGAGCCAAGAGGCATCATCGTATTGTTGTGCATGGATTGGTCGCAATATATGCTAGGTTAATTGCATTCCATTTTAGGCGCGACGGGAGGGCAGTCACCCATCTTTTTATACACAATTGGTTACACCTAAAAGGAGGCAAAATTGTGCTCATGTCACGCCTAAAATAGGACATAACTGATTGTTATAGATTTGTAAATTGTTTTTAAATCACTATATTTTCACATTTTTTTATTTAAATCACAATATTTTTTTACCCTTAACAACCACTCATCTTGCTTTTGGACTTGTACGTAGGGCTATACATTGGTCAGGTCAAGTCGAATTTTTGTGCCGACTCGATCCAGCTTAGTTTTATAGGTCAAGTATTTTGATCCAACCCAATTTAATTTGATCCAAGTCAGGTCTGACCAGATTTGAATTTTGTTTGAACTGGTTCAGAACGAGATCAAATCTGACCTGACTTGGTTTCTGAAGTGGGTCTGACTTGATTTCAAAATCGGGTCAAATCCGACCTGACCCACTTTTGACTTGGTTTCAAAACTTGTTTTTTATTTGATTTTTTTATAGTTATTGATTTAATTTTTAAACTCAAGTAATTTAATTATTTATTTGTTTTAAAATATATAAATTATATAATAAATTTGATATTTGTTGATTAAATACCAATTCTTCAAAAAATACGTGCCAATATTACTATTCCATGGTACTAATTAGTGTCATGGGTAGCTCATTCTATCTCATAATTGATATTTGCAATTAGCAATTATCATGATTTCATTGGATTACCAAAAAGCTCCAAATTGATGATAAATTAAAAAAAAAAACAATCCAAACGTAAAATTATTCCAAAAATATCAGCGTAAGGATTCCATTTACTTAATGTAAGAAATTAAAATTAACATATGTTTACAAACAATATGACTAACTCTTATTTAATCAACACTAGTGTGTGCAATCTATCTCATTTCTTGACTATCCCATGGAATCTTGGAGGCTTATAGCACATAAAATCTTCAGGTAGACAGAATAACTATTATCCTATCACAGGTTGTATCAAAATCAAAACCTGTAAATTTATAATCCCTTCCGGATTCAAAGTCACTAGATCAGATATATTTTCACATTGATTTCCAAACACACAAGTTACCTTGGCTCGCATTCCAACACCTCAACAAGCTTGTTTTCATTTTTATCGGGAGAAGAGAGAACATAAGCCCCAAATTACATTACTGTGATTTTTGGTTTTTTTTTTTTCACAAAATAGGCCTAGGTCAAGTTTTAAATCAATGGGTTAATTATTAAAACAAGTCAAGTCTAAAACTGACCCAAATATAAGTGGTTCAATATTTAACCTAGTTTAAAAAAATAGATATTTATGGATTAGATCAAGAGCAAGACAACTGAAATAGTTTTTTTGCACACCCCTACTTGGACGTTATGCTATTAGGTTTCACATTTTTTTTTGGTAAGCTACTATTAAGTTTCACATTAATTATACTGTATACTTAATTACGGGGAGTTTGACAGTCACCTACTTTCTTTAATTATAGGCGAGGAATTAAAAAGGTTACAAACAAATTAAAAATCAAAACTCGAAAAAAAAAAATCTTTTTCTTTGTTTAACCAGAAGGTTATAATCAATCTCGTTGGAGGGATGAAAATTGTAATGGACGTCAAAATCAAATAGGTTAAGGACAGTGTTATCATGGTTTTACATGAGGCTTGGTTTTGTACTTGCACGGTTGCACCCCCATGTGCACTGTAAATTGACAAGTAGAACTCGATGTAAGGAGGGGATGGCCTCGTGATAAAATTGAACTGTCAGCAATTTTAAAAAAATTGCAAAAATTGGTAATTAAATTATATATTTGATTCATTTAATCTATAAAAAAATGAAGGATAAGAGAATTAGTGAAAAATTTGTTGAATAAGTTCAAAATTAATAAAAATTGATGAAGAACCAGTTATTTATTTATTTATTTTTTAAATATTTATAATTTTAACAAAAAATAATTATTAAATAAATTTTTAAGTCAAGTTATACAGATAACATATTAGATCAACTCACACGGTCCAGAAAAAATTAATATTACACGCAATCTTAATCGTTGTTCTTATTTTAATTTAGCAACATATATAATTAATAAATTTGAATAATTAAATACAATCGCAATCAAGATTTAATAATGGAGTTGTAAGTTGATAGTTTCCAACTTTCGTTGTATTTTTTAAAAATCTTATTTAATTAAAATGTTTATAATTTTTATAGTTCACTATATATTTTATTAGTTAATATTAAAAAAAATATTTAACTATCGCCAATTTAATAATAATGTAATTACAATTAGAATTAATAAACCATAAATCACTTTCTTCGACAATTCAATAACCAATCTAATATTATAAAAATTGGCTCTGAACTGTGAAAGAACGATGATTTAGGAGAATGAAAACTGTTAGGAAAGTGTTACAAGTCCCACATTGGTTGTATAGGAAACTAATGTGGGGTTTAAAAGGCTTTGGGCACTCTCACCCTTTGAGCTAGCTTTTGGGGTGGTGACCTCAACCTCAAAGTCCGTAACAATTGATGCTTTCATTGAGAGTTGAGACCACGGAAAGGGCTACCTATAGGCTGGATTAAGGTGTCTTTGGGAACTGAATACTGATAGGTGAGTGAAGCCGCCGGGGGAAAGGGCTACTGTCGGGTCAGTGTCGATAGAGTGAAAGCCGCCGTGGACGTCGGCCCTTAAAGGGAGTGGCAATGTTACAAGTCCCACATTGGTTGTATAGGAAACTAATGTGGGGTTTAAAAGGCCTTGGGCACTCCCACCCTTTGAGCTAGCTTTTGGGGTGGTGACCTCAAGGTCCGTAACAGAAAGCTTTTTCAAAGCACCCATTTGTATGGGCGCCTCTTATTTAAAAGATGATATTTGGATTAATTTTTTTTTTTTTTTCCTCTGTACAATTTACACCTACTCTCTTTTGTTTTAATTGACCCATCACACTAAGTTAGTGGTGCGATGAAAGTACCTCAAAAATTTCAAATTTGTAGATAGACACATAAAACTTGTGTTCATAATCTAGTATAGAGTAAAAATTAATTTTAGTTGGAAAAAAATAAGAAGAGAGATGAGAGAAAAAGCGAAACAATGATACTAATAAATATGACCTGAGTTAAGCAATTTTGTTTTTATGTGTAACTAACATAACTTTTTATAGAAAATTGTAAATGATCCATCCTCACAAGAGACCACACAATCCATGGAAGGCCTTTCCAAAGCCTTCTAATTTTTTTTTTATTTTTATTTTCTTCTATCCTTGTCATATGGAATTATTATCAAACACATGGATCAATTGATAAAGAATTAGTCTAGCTTAATTACTGATTTTAAATTTGAGTCTCGGAAAAACAGTTTTGTTAAAATTTGATAAAGACAGTTTAGTGACTATATGATACTACTAAGCTTGAATCGAATTACTGTGAGTAATCGAAAACCCAATTGATAATATATAAAGCAAAAAAACAAAAAGAGAGAGAGAGAGAGAGAGAACACAAAGTGATGGGGGAGAGTCCCACAACTGTGTCCAGCGCCAATAATGCTTGTAAACAAGACAACCCCAGAACCCCTCTCTTTCAAGTGTGTGCATCATCTGCTAGCACATCCCTTCTAACCTCACTTGAGAACTTTCCACCTTTCATTTCTTACCACTTCCTTCCACTCTTTTCTTTGTCTTTTTTATGTTTAAACCACAATCAACCGTTTTGAACCATTGTTCTGTTAGTTTCCACTTCTAACACACATTCTCTCCCTCTCTCTCTCAATCTGTTCACTCGTGACTTTGAGAGTTGTTCCAAGCACAGCATTTATTACTACATTCTATATAAGAGAGTATCACAGGCATCAGAAAACAAAGGAATAATTGCGGGGGTGATACTGATATGGGGTCTTGTTCTGCTTCTTCTTTGGTATTACATTTATTACCATTCTTTTGTTAGTATCAATACCATACGGAATGTTGGTCACCCTCATTGGGGGCTAAGAGAGCTAAAGCATTTAAGTTAATATACTTGGATTAGCTTTGATGGAGAGGCTTCAAGGACCCTTCAATTCCTGTGTATGTGTTACTTTCCTAGTTTTACATCATTCCCTTCCTTTTTTCTTCATTTTTTCTTATTCCTCCATTTCCCATTTCTAGAATCAAGATAGGTACTACATTTACTCCTGAAAACGCTTGCATTAAATGCTTTGATTCTATTTTCCTGAAAGAAAAAAAATAAAATTATATCTGCCCTGCTTTCCCTTTGTTGATATTCCACTTCAGTTCTTCTTTTATTGCTCTCTTTTCTGCATAGACTTACCCCTTTTTCCATTCTGACTCAACCCCAACCCAAACCCCATTAATGGAAGCATATATTCCTTGCTTCTTTTGAATTAAGTTGGGTATGAAAGTGAAATCCAACCGATACTTCATTTTCTTTTGTTCCTATTTTTTTTTTTTTCAGGACACATTTTTGTTCTTTGTGCTTAATTGTTTTTTCTTGCAGTTCTTTGGTGAGCATTTTGAAGTGAATTGTTTGGAGCAAGGTTTTGTAGATGCAGAAAGCTTGAGACTTGAGGAGGAAGAACAACTTCTGATATCAAATTTAGAGGATAACATGCCATTCCTGCAGATGCTTCAGAGTGTGGAATACCCAGAGTTTTTCCCTTTGAAAGAACCAAGCTTTCAAACACTTCTGAGGCTGCAGCACCTGAAGAAACCATGGGAAGGGATAGCATATATTCCCACAATGGAGACACAAGTTCAATCAACAATGGAGCTTGAGAGCTGCGTGACTCATGACATGTTGGAGATGCAGTCACCAATGAAATCCGAAAGCAACGAGCTTCAACAACACCCACGTTCAGTTTCATGTGTTGAGAAAGTGAACTATGAGTGCAACCAGGAACCGATAGAAACAGTTAACAACTCACAGTCATGCTCCAAATCTCAGCTAGTCACAAGGGAAAGGAGAAAGCGAAAGAGAACTAGACCAACCAAGAACAAGGAAGACATGGAGAATCAACGCATGACTCACATTGCTGTTGAACGAAACCGAAGACGCCAAATGAATGACCATCTCAGTGTTCTAAGGTCCCTGATGCCCGCTTCCTATATTCAAAGGGTATGCAATCAATTTTTCTGAAATATGGAACCAAATTGCCAAACCCATTTCTTCAAAGTCCCTTCTTTTGCTTTCTTCATGTTAAAAATCCAATCTTTTTCAGTGTTGTATGCTCAAAATTTATTTTTATTTTTACTTTATATTGATATTGAGCTGTTGTTCATGGGATAGGGTGACCAAGCTTCAATAATTGGAGGTGCAATAGATTTTGTGAAGGAGTTGGAGCAATTGCTTCAATCACTTGAAGCACAAAAAAAGATAAGAAAGAATGAAGAGGTTGGTTATTCCAGTAGGTCTTCTAAGCCATCATCATCATTGTCTGGTTATGGATTAAGGTCATCAACATCAACTGAAGAAGTAAATTGTGGGGATGAGGTGAAAGCAGAAAACAAGTCAGATGAAGCAGACATAAAGGTTACCTTGATTCAAACCCATGTGAACTTGAAAATTGAGTGCCAAAGAAGGCCAGGGCAATTGATAAAGGTAATTGTTGCTTTGGAGGATCTTAGGCTAACCATTCTGCACCTCAACATCACCTCATATGAGGCTTCTGTCATGTACTCGCTTAACCTCAAGGTATTACTCTGTCTTTTCACTTCAATTTAATTTTTCTTTTTCTTTTTTTTTGTATGGTCAACTCACCACATGAAAATGGAATCAAGTCAGCATACTGTTCTATTCTGACTTGCAATCTAAGCAAAACCTGGCTCCCCTATTTCCAACATATTCTATGGTTATAAATTTTAATTTTTTTGATAAATTACTATTTAACATTAATATATTCATTTTACTGTACTACCGTTACACTATATTTTTTTATTTTGGTGATGAATAATGGACTTGGCGTGTTGTGGGGCTGCAGATTGAAGAAGACTGTAAGCTAGGATCAGCAAATGACATTGCAGAAGCAGTTCATCACATATTTAGATTCATTAATGGTTAGCTAAAGTCAACAAGATTTAACCTTAGGGAGTCTTTAGTGGAGGAATAAAGGACCAAACATGGCAAGGAGGGTGGCGGAGTGACTGGGAAACGGGGAACACAGGGCACACATCTCTTTGTCTTCATATCAATGTGAGGTGTATCATGGTAGGTAGATCAGAGATAGATGGTACTACGTGAGGATAGGACATAGGCTATTTTCCTACTCGAATAATTTCTGTACGTTCATTTAATCAGAATGCTAGTATTGCATAATTTGTATTTTTATTTTATTCAAGGTTGAATTCATATTATAGGCTGTTCTTCCAAATGTTTAAGCGGTTAAGGAATGAATTATTTCTTTAACACACCTCTCTGGTAAGAGTTTTCTAGTCTTAAAACATGAATATTATACAAATTTATTTAATTTCACTAAAAAACAAGAATGATGACGATTGAACTCATGATTATGTAATTATCAAACTCTGATACGATGATAAAACCATTATATTAAATCTAACAACAACATTAAAGGGAATAAATTTATTGCCAATTACATCAGTAATTATTGGTTAATGTGCGTTACTCATTTGTTCATGAGAATTTGGGGTGATGTATTGTGGTATGGTGATGGCCGGTGGGGGATAAAGGGTAGGGCCCAAGATGTCTCCATGGGAAGGAGGACCCACTTTGAAAATTTTGGAGTTCTCATCAATACAATTATACAAGTAGGGGAATGATGCTTCTGCCTTCTCTTTTTGTGTTGACTTTGCATGATGGCCGTACACTTGAAAAGATGTTTCATACTTTATGTGTATGCTCACTTTCTGATTGGTTCTTTTTGGCCTTGAGTTCACGGCAGCATGGTACAATTAGCCGGGATCAAACAATAAATAAATAATCAAGTAAATAAAGCAGTGAAAGGTCCTCGAGGAACTAACCAGATTGCAACCAAGGATTTACTTGAATAACAATTATTACATCACTTAATAAATTAAGAGTTTTATTTATCCTATTTTGTTGGAGATAAATATATCCTATCTTAAACACATGATGTAGTGGGACTTACTATTCATTAAAAAAAATGATGGTACAATTTTTTATACGAGAGAAGCATAAGATAGTTATCTTGTTTAAAATGAGACAATGATTTCTTATTCTATAGACACAACAAGTGGTAGGTTCTACCACTTTAAAAAAATAAAAAATAAAAAGAAAATAGACGGATTTTGATATCTCATAACATAAAAAAGTAATATCCAAAAACATGAGAAAATAATTTCCTTAATACAAAAGGCATTTCTGAGAGAGAGAAAAACTAATAACATGAGGATCCACTTCATTTTTTCTATACTGGCAGCACAAATGTTTTCCCCTATATTTATGTATAGAAATACAGATAAAAGTAAGCTAATAATATATGAAAAAAAACAAGTATTATGTTGTAGAAAAAATCTTAAGTCAATTCATAGAGACAATCAATTGTGAGAGTCATTGTTTTTAAAATAAAAGAAAAATAAAAAATTGATGAATCCACTTTTATGTATATGTAAAAAAATTAGTTGTGTTATGCGAAAAGAAAAAAATATTACCCATAATATATTGCCTTTGATAATAGCTGTTGTAGGTTATAATGTGAATGCTACCTCAACATTCTCCTTGAAAAGACAGAATGTACTTTATAGTTGTATTGGAATAATATTATACTCAATGCTACCTATGGTTATATAAGCTGTAAACAACATATCTATAACCTATATATGAAATTACATAAAATAATATTCAAATCTTGAATTTCTCAAATTCAAATGAACTTTATTCTCGTGTTTGGAACCAAAAAGAAGTTCACGAATCCTTGTCCCAATTTGTAGTAGTTGACATTATATTGTTGTACCACCATATATATGCTAATAAAAAAGAGTTAAAGCAATGGTTTGTGAGAGAAAGACCACATGTCAATCATGTTGATACTTGTTTATTTCAATTTTTATATATTTCCTTTTGAAACTGGTAAAATGGAGTCTTACAATTAGAGCATTTCGAAACAATAGCGTTACTTTTTTGTATTTTCTTTCCTCTTGCAATTCATATTAACGAAGATGAGATTGAAGTAACAGCAGCATGCCATATAAGAGCGCTCTTTTAAAATTAAAAGGCTTCTCTTTTCTCATGTCACATGAGATATCATCTCTCATGTCATAGACACAATAAGTGGTGAGACTCACCACTTATTTAAAAAGAAGAAAAAACTAAAAAGATAGCACGAATTTCGATGTCTCACAACATGAAAAAACTATCTTCTATTACATAAGAAAATGATTTCCCTTTTTAAAATCACCGGTACACCCATTTACTTAAAAAGAAAAATTTGTATTCTATTTTTGAAAAAAAAAAAATTCTATCATATCATCAAAATTTTCAGATTTGAAAAACGGGTGTTTCAACTTCGATACAACCATAGTATTAAAAATTTATCCTCATTTCAGGAGGGACACATAATGGTACTCTCCTTGATTACACTGCCATATTTGAAAATGGAATTTTGCATAAAAAAACCGTCCGTAAATTTTCTTTTTTGCCCATTATCATCGATCATTCCAACACCAATAAGAAAAAAAGGCAAAAAAATAAGAGTGAAATGGTGGAAAATTCCTTAGTGAAAGGTGTTTGACAAGAAGATGCATAAAGGAAAGTGGGGGAAAGTCAAAATAATGATGAAGGGCAATCCCAATCCACAACCCCATACATAACATGAGAGACAAAATTATATTATTCATTTGTCTCTCTCACAAAAGCAGAACCCATCCCTATGTGCAAATGTGTCAGAAGGACAAAAATACCCTCTCCTTTCATGGTCCAGCCCCAGCCTTTTAGTCCTATTCATTTTCGGTCCCCGAGTTGCTAGTGCCCTAGTGGGGTACCTCTCTTTCCCATTGTTGATGGCTTGATATCTTGCTTTTTTCTTCCATCTTTAGCTTTTCATTTGTGTCCCCAAAGGGTAGAAGGTCTGTCCCAATTAATTTAGAACTCGTGTGAGACCATGCCACTAGCTTAATTAGCTTCACTCTTTTTGTTTCTCTCTCGATTCATGAATCATGATTAATTATAAAGATATTTTGTAACAAGTTAACAACTACATAGCAATCGAACTGCATTATCAACCACAAAATAAGATACTGAATTATATTGACTATATTCGTGCTTAATTTCAATCGCATGAATTAGACATATAGAACATGTTATCTAAAGTTCATCGTTGGGTTATACAACTCTTATTATACTACTTATCAAATTTTTTAATCGATAATTGAAATATTTAAGCTTTGAGTTGTGGTACCAATGTCCTCGGGCAACAACACCAACCTTGACATCCATGAACATGGAACATTGGTCAGAAGTTCTTGGACTAAGCGATTGTTTTATTGGAAAAGAAGAGACATCCTTCGAACTTCCCGCCGAGTCTCGCATTTTCATTCTTATCATTAGCATGATTCATGTAGAGCTTATTCTAAGGATATTTAAGAAGAGCACAATTTTTTATAAAGTAAAAACTTCTTGTCAATAATTAAATCAATAAGCAAACGGAAGTTAAGTCAAGTATTCAACTGATAAGATTGAAGAGTGTTAGAAAAAAAAATCTTAAGTTTGATTTAAGTTAATAAATTTCTGTTGTTTGGTAATTTTTCCTTATGGCATGCATGCCTCTTATTGATTGCATTTCATATAAATTAACGTAGATTTTTCTTAATTATATGGCTTGCATGCATAACATTGCTCAAACTCATTGTGGGCCTTGGTTTACTTATGATACGATAACGCCAACACATATTGCTAATGGTTTGGACCAAAATCACAAGCAAAAGGCAATGAGTTTTACTTTTACCTCTGGGGACCGCACTACTTCCATTCTATCAGAACCAAAATCTAAACATCATTGGCCTACGCCAGTATTATTATGCTTTGCTGCTTGGTTCGTCCACGGTTACGTGACTATATGCATAATGCATGTATAAGATACGTCCCTCACAGGTGATGGGGATGGGACAGTAGTGCATGAACATATATAAATGCCAAAAATCATGTTCCATTTTTTCTTCTAGGAAAAAAAAAAAATTAATGATGTTGTTTTCTGCATCATTTATAAAATTTCATTTTTTAAAAAGAATAATTATATATAGACTAACATTTTGAGTTGAATTTTTTTAGAATTTAGATATCAGACTCGAAAATAAATTTTGACCTATTGAATTATATATGCAACAATACCGAACGAATTAAATTATAATAGCTCAACATATTTTTTTTGAGTTTTTTGGAGTTACCCAACCCTAATTATCTCTTTGAGACGAGTTGGCTCCCTCCGGTATCCCCACGAGCTTCGACTCTTTGAGCCGGCTATGGGACTAATCCGGAGTGCGGGGGAACAGTGATGGCTAAAGGTTCAACCCCCTCCCCTAAGTTAAAACATTTTGTCAATCTTAATCATCCTGTTATATGTAAAAATATTAAAAAATGGGTTTAATCTAGGGTCACATTAAATTTTTTTGTCTATAACTTGTCTGTGAAAATTTGACTTCTGCCATGTTTGTAGTGACTAGTGAGTTTGGTAGTGCGTGTCCTTATATTGGTAGCTAGGATATAAGGGAGAAGGCTGTCAAATATGAAGTCATCTACATCTGCTCTTCTTGATAAGTGTTTTGACAGAGTTACCAAAATATCTTCATAAGTTCCAAGGCTAAGAGAGGAAGCAAAGTTGGAAATTTGGGTAAACAAATGTCGTACCATATATATACCACCACTACCAACGAAAGCCAGATCTAGTTGTCTTAGGTGCTTCAAATTCCAAAGACAACCTTTTCACCTATTCAATCAAATTTACTTTGGCCTCTTCAACCGTACAGATCATGGTGAAAAGTTAAATAAATTAAAGAGTAAATATCATTTTTGGTCCTTAGCAAATTTTACGATATCTGTTTTAGTTATCAATAAATAAAAAAGCTATATTTGTGATCTCTAAGAAATTTAAAGTGAACCTATTTTAGTCCTTTTGAGAGATTAATATAGGACTTTTTTAAATTTGTAAAAGATCACGATTTCAACTAAATAGTTCATTTTGAATTTCTTAGGATCACGAATAGCCTTTTTATTTGTTAAGGACTAAAACGGGCATCGTGAAATTTATTGAGGACAAAAATGTATTTACTCTAAGTTAAAAATGTCAAGAACTTTAAACTTTTGTTTTGATGTTATATATACGAAAAGTAATATTTTCCGTTAATAAGAGATAATTTTATTTTTTACACACATATAAAGATATACATGATTTATATTTTCTTTTTCTTTTTTCTTTTTCTTCTCCTCACATGTCTCACATGAATCCATATATGTTTATATATATGTAAGAGATAAAATTATTTTCTACAATATGAGAAATATTAATCTCTATATATACAGATATAAAATAAGGAATATGTCAAATAGTCGGCTCAAAAATATTGGAAACATGTTTCTTATATTATATGAGAAAATTTTGTATCATGCAACACACACAAAAAGTGGATACAACTCACTAAGAAGAAGAAAGAAAGAAAAATCTCATTCACTTTTTGTGTCTTATGCAATATAAAAAACACATTTTCCATATAAAATTCAAGCAACTTACTTACTGTAACAAATGAAGTTATGACCAAATGATGATAGCTAAATTGACATATAAGAGTTGAATAAGTGAGATGAGAATATATGTTCAATTTTCTTCAATATTATTTCTGAGAAGGATTTAAAATCTTAATTTTGAATTCATTTCAAATTTCAAATTAGTCCATAAAAAATTTATGAATTTACAGTATTTAAAAGAAAAAAAATGAAGTTCTGAGATGTGATCATAAAGCCAATACAAATAGGTCTTAAATGCAGCGGGCCTTTTGTTTTTGTTTTTTGTTTTTATTTTTGTTTTCTTTTGTCTCTGTGTGAGTGTGATGCGTCTTTGACTCTGGTTTGGGGGGCGATGTGAATAGGTGCATGTGGGGAAAAGAGTTGGAGAGGTCAGAGATTCGAATCGTAAGGTATGCAGACCATTGACAGAAGACAGAGATCTTCTCTGAGACTACTCATACTATACGGTTTTAAGAAACCTGTGCTCTCAAGTTTGTGTGCTATTCGAAGCATACATTAATCGAAATCGATTAGGTTTCGGATATCGGTTAATATTTACAAATAGTAATAGTAATAATAAACAATGACAATATTAGTATAAATAATTAACAATAAATTTAACATAAAAATAAAATAACAAAAACAACTAGTAATAATAATAATAAACAATGACAATATTAGTATAAATAATTAACAATAAATTTAACATAAAAATAAAATAACAAAAACAACAATATATATTTAAAAAAATATTAAATTAATTTAAAAGTACTAGAATGTACATAAAGAGATACAAAAAGGATTTACGGTAAAAAGTTATCTAAATACATTTCACTTAATAATGTCTGTCTTTCCTTTTATTATGTGAAAACCTGGACTGCTGAGACTCTGAGTTACAAGTAAATTAAGCTTTTGATGTGATGGATTGATGGGCTTGTTAGATGATGAGAAAGAGGCCCATAAAACGACCCACTACCATAACCATTGAACTAGGATAAGGTGTCACCTAATGCCTTTGTGGGCCGTCAATTTTCTTCTAATACCCATATAAATATTGGCCCCCAACCATTCGCTGGTTTCTCACAACATTTTCATAATATATATACTAGGGTTTAATATTTTCACGGCGAAGAAGGTAAAAAGGAAAAATTTAAAAATTCTCTTATAATTTCACTTTGAATCACTTATATCTTATATTTTTTTAATCACGTACTCCTCTATGTTTTTTTTTATCCTAACTCATTATTAACACTGTCAAAAGCTTAATTAATCTGCTTATTTTACCCTTATTAATAGAAGAGTATAGATTAATGACAAAAAAAAGAATAAAATAAGACCATATATATTAGAAACTTACAATACTTATATAAAATAAATAAACATAAAAGAAAAAAGTCCAAGTATGCCTAAATCAAAAAGAAGAAAATTGATTCATGACAAAAAAGAAAAAGAAAAGATAAGACCAAATATATTGAAAATTATAATAGTGACAGAAAATACTAAAAATAAAAATAAAATAAAAATTAAAAATGTAACAAAACTCTTTAGTCTCAGGGCCAAATTAGGTCCCGCAAGAAGCCCTGTTAAATTTAGCTCTCTTTGCTATAGGGTTATTTCTTTCCCAACGTATTGAAGTCCTATCATTTTGAGGGCTAGGTTGGGGCTGGCCCAAGGGCCACAAATATTTCTCCTAATTTACACTTTTATTATTCTAATGGTAGCCAGAGGAAATTTAGTTGATGCTAATACTATTACTCTTGAACTTTTCCTTCCCACCTTCTAGCTTTTCAACGAGCATATGCATGTAAATTTCATCATTAATACGTATTAAGTCTCTATTGCATAGCTCAATGTTCCCCAAATATGCCAAATACAAACAACCATGGAAGAAAAAGAGAGCTGTGTAAGAATTAAGGGAGTTTGCCTGGTAGTCTCATTGCAATAACCATCATTACTCATGTCATAGGGATCAAATGGTGGGGTGGGTCGTTGTGTGAAAGCCCATTTCAGTGTATGTCCGAGTACAAGGCAATTGGACTTTATATATATTTTACTTCCAAGATTGTTGCTAGTATCACAATTGATCTCACAAACTACAAGCAAGGTACACACATATATCATATCATACACCATATTTATTAAGAGAAAATGTGTATCATTTTAAAAGATGTAAAGTTGTGTCATTTTAAGTGAGAGAAAGAGATAAATCATGTAAGAGAGAGTAGACAAAATAATAAAGGTGTGAATCCAACTTTTTTATGAGAGTGAAATGACACAAGTTATGTCATTTAAAAGGACAAATAATTTTTTTCATTTATTAATTATATTGATCAAGCTATTGGTTTTGATATGCTCTTGTGAATAAGGATGCGTTTCATTGAGAAGGATGCGATAGACACTGCAACGCAATTGGTTTGGAAGCAATCAAATATTTGTGGTATTCTTTTAGTTTGTAATATTTGAGTCCACTTATTCTCAGTTTAAGTACTTTTGATTGTCTTCTGTGCATGTTCTACTTAGTAGTATGTTTAACTTTTGTAGATCCTCTAACAGCTGATGTAAATAAATGATATTTATGTCCGGTAAATAAATACTATTTAATTTAATTATTTGTCGGGTTTGTTTGATTATTTTAATAAAAGTCATAGTAACTATTATTTTTTTAACATTACAAACTGTTATCACCGAAAAATTTTAAAGATTAGTTTACATTACATATTTTCTTAAAATATTATTTTTCCACATTCTCTATTTCATTAGTTGGATCACTGAAATTTTTTTAAAGATTCTTTCTTCGGAGAATCTCACTTCTAAAACTAACTCAAAGTCCATATAAATTCCACGTTTCATCTATATAACAAATGGAGGACTCCAAATCTCATAACTTTAACAATAAGATATTGTGTGTTGGTGGAAATTCCTCTCTTGATCATCATCTGGTTGAACAATTTTTTCTTTTAAAGCAGTTTACACTTTAGAAGAAGTTGGTCTCAATTAACTATTTTAAATTATTTAAAGATGTGTTTTTGTCTGGTTAGGCCCTTGGAAAAAAAGAATCATTTTTAGAGAAGTTTTGATTTCAAAAAGCCCAACCAGGAACCTCCTATCCTTTTGAAATACCATAAAAGCCCTATCTTCCAGCCATGTCAGCACATTATCTAGATGAAAAGAAATGAGTGGTTCTGCTGCAGCTTCAAACTGAGGCAAGATGATTTCCACATTCATTTGCAAATTATCAAACACTTTTGAGATTAAATGGCTAAGAAAAATTAGAAACAGAAGAAATATATCAATAACTTAAGCTATAACTCAAAAGTCTTTCATAAAACATTAAAAAATCATAACCTGAAAAGGGGGTTCACTGAAGCAAATAATAGCAATGGCCTCAACCTCTTCCTCAGCTCTCACTATATCCTCTTCATCCACCCTTGTTGATGGCAAGGCTCCAAGACAATCACAAGCTTCTTCCACACAATGTGTGAGCCTTCCCACTCTTCCCCCTCCACCTTTGCAGTCTCAGAATCGTCCATGGAAGACCACTACTTATTGTAAGTTAGTCACAAAAGACTACACAAACAATTGAACAACACCCTTTAACCAAACACATGCCTCATGAATCACGAATGTTACTCACTTCTTCTAGTGCTTGATGTTATCTAGGAGAATGTAACATTGTAGGTTGATACTTTCAGGTCGCAAGATTGCTCGCAATGTTATGGCAATGGCCACAGGAGATGCAACAGAAGTTGCCACAACTGAGGTGCCAGAGTTTGTCAAGACTCTTCAAGAAGCTGTGAGAATCTCTTAACTCTTTTGATATATCTGATCATGTGGTTAAAATGGTGTTTTCTTTGTGTTTCTGACTTGAATTTGATGATGTTGGTTTGTATAGTGGGACAAAGTTGAAGATAAATATGCAGTGAGTTCACTAGCAGTAGCTGGTGTGGTTGTATTGTGGGGCTCAACTGGGTTGATCTCAGTAGGTTATTCAAATGCTTATTTTGCATCCTTTGATTATCATTTCCCACTAATTATTATTATTTACCACTGACAATTGTTCATGATGATATATTTTGATGAAAGATGTCCTAAGAAAATTGCTATGACTTGTAACAGGCAATTGATAGGCTTCCTTTAATTCCTGGGGTTGTTGAGGTAGTAGGCATTGGCTACACTGGGGTAAGTGATCAAATATACTTAATTACTGTTATCGTTTGAGCCATTTATGCTCATAACAGTTGGATTAGAACCTAATTTCTTGTTAAATAATTATTATTTTCCCTTGGTTTCTACCATTTCCATTCTTTCTCTCTTTCTCTTTTTAATAAATTAACTTTCTTGGGGGATATAGTTTAACTGGTTTAACAAATGAATCATAACTCACATAACCAGGATGAGGCATTATTCAATGAAACCAAGAGAAATACCCAATTCTGACAAATTATCAGTCAGAGAAACACTTGAAGGCCTTAGCCACACCCTACAGTGGAAACCACAAAATACAGAATAGAGAAAAAGAAAAGAAAAGAAAAGAGAGGGTTTAGCAATTGGAAATGCACAAGAGTGGTTTTTTAAAAAATCCTTGTAATCCTGGATTCCCTCTTTAGGATAACCGATTAATCAATTTGTATGTCTTTCATTGCAGTGGTTTGCTTACAAGAACTTAGTTTTCAAGCCAGACAGGTAAACAAAATTTCTCTTGAATAATTTACTACAATTTGGTGCTATGGATTAACTTAATGATTAGTGTTTTTCAACAATTTTGTCATGAATAGAAGTCGTTGTCCTTAAACTTGTTTAATGGAATAACAGGGAAGCTTTGATACAGAAAATAAAAGACACATATAATGAAATAATTGGGAGCACCTAAGAGAGATGGGAAATGCTGAGATGCTGTTGACATGAAAGAGTTCTATCTTGCAGCATTCTGTTGAAGGTCATCATGCTTCATTTTGTCGCCATAAGCTTCTGACCTTACTTTATTCCATCCAATGTAATATGTTTGGAACAAAATTGTAACTTTATTAATCCACTTTAAGACACTCATTTCCTCTATTATCCGTAGTGGTTGGTTATAAGGATATGAAAATTCAATTGAGTTCCTAGAGCTGAATTCATGACTTCAATGAATGTGTTAGAGCATGCATGTCCACAAAAAGTATTCAACGGAAGATGTTGTTCAGAATTTAAGATTAGCTAAATGGGGATCCTTAGTTACTTTATCCTATGAATATCGTTCCCTCGTTTGTCCTATATCTATTTCTTTCTTTATTACTTGTACGACCGGTATACTTGCCGTACAGATAACAACTAGAAGATGTTGTGTATTGTTTGAAGTTTAGAGGGGCGTGTGTATAGCCAAATGATGGAAGCTCAGTTGGCGCATGAGAGCTGAGTAAGTGGGGTGAGAACATATGAATCTTGGATCTGCCCAAATTTCGGATTAGTCCATAGAGAACCTATGAGATTACCGGGGATAATCTCAAGGAAAAGAGAGAGAGGGAGGTGTGTGCATATAGGTTAATTTTCATGCAATGTGAGAGTTATAATAGCCACCATAATAATATATTTTTCCATTTGAAAAATAAATATCCTACCATATTTGAATTTAATAGCCCACCATAGAAATTAAATCATCAATTTCAGCAGCATTATTGTTCTTGCCTATGTATATTTTTTCGTATAACATAATATAACCACGTGGTGGAGGTGAGGGTTCATGCACAACGAAATTTTAAAAGAAGAAGAAGATTAAATTTTTTCTGAAAAATATTTAAAAATTACTTGATATGTAGACTCTAACTTCACATGGTTTCCGAAGCTGCGATCTGGATGACTTATTCCTCAATGTAATCCATGCAGTCAAATACTTTTGGACACATTTGTGTCAACTTATGAAGTGCTAATCTGGTATGAAGGTTATTTCTCAATTTGACTTTGTTTCATGAATTTTGATGTAGTGGCTGCTTTTTTAATTGTTTTTCTTATATGGATACTTCAAAAACCAATTTTAGATTTTCTAGTGTGTTACTGTTTGTTATTAACAAATTGCTTATTTATGATATACTCATGTGGACTTTATTTTATATACGATCAGTTTGGCGCATGAATATACGCGCATTGATCATTTTTTTAGCCCTCATAATTTTTATTCATTTTCAATTTAGTTCTGTTAATTTTTTTTTTAAAACATACATGCACGGTCAATTGTAAACTATTTGTGCTTTCAAAGAATATAAGTTGTGTTCTTTTAGTTTTTCTACTCTATGTACTTTCAGTATAGTGTTATAACATGAAAAGTTTTTTTTTTCTCTTTCCTAAGTTACATGCATCAGCTGACGTGAAACATGAAAAAAAAAAAAGTAATTTTTCATATTATAACTATGTACTACCGAGAGTGCATAGAGTAAAAAATTAAAAGGACACATATATCCTTTAAAAGTACACACTCTAAATGCTTAGTATGAAATGAATTTAGTAATTAATTGTAATAAAAATGAAAATTCAAGATTTTATTTGAGCCGATACCGAATAGTACGTTAAGCAATGGTTATCACCCGAAGAAAAATAAAATGCAATGATATAGATGATACAAGAACAATTTAAGCCAATACTAAATAGGTATGTCTACTTAAAGAACTCCATAACCCAGAAGCCAGAGACATAGCAGACGAATTTGATGCCACTGAATCCAGATCCTAATGCCAATTCCATGAACTCTTGTTGGGTTCGTTCTTTCCCTCCTGGGTTTTGTGCCATCATTAAGATGTCAGCTTGGAAACCAGCCTTAGCAGCAAGTGTACTCTCAGGAAAAGCTGGAAGAATTGCGTCCACAACAATCACTCTTCCATCATTAGGAATAGCCTTATGGCAATTCTTCAACAACTTCAAGCAGTGCTCATCACTCCAATCGTGAAGTATCCACTGAAATTTTTGGTACACAAAAATAATATATCATACAATATTACATTTGTTGGCAGTTTGCATTAAAATATTTGATTCGCTGATGATTACTTGAATTTAATTACATTTTATCCGTGCTAAGATACTTAATTAGTTTACTTTTCATAATAAGATACTTGCACCGGTCACTATTAAATTCCTAATACAAAATTCATACAGTGAGGGTGGAAAAAAGTTGAAAGTATGTACTAATATTTTTTTTTAATAATAAAATTAATTAATTAATTTTTTTTTTCTTTTATACGGATAATTCCTTCAAAAGTTCGAATTAATTCACCTTCATGAAAATGACGTCTCCGTTAGGGACACTCTCAAACATATCTCCTCCCTCATGTTTCACCCCTGCAAAAATATTAAAATAACTTTTAAAAGATTTACAATTTCAAGGCATAATATTCAAAAGTTGTTAAGACTTGCATATCATTCTTAAGATTAGAATATGCAACAAATAAATTAAATGAAGATCAAAATATACCAGCATAGGTAGGGGCATGCTCCACAACATGAGGCAAATCAAAATTAACACCTTGGATATGAGGATATTTGGAAGTGATGAGCTTGAGATTAATACCAAGACCACCACCAACATCCACCAGTGTATTTATCTGCTCAAAACCTTCGTAAAACTCAAGAACCCTCTTCATAACTATAGCGGTAAAATTGAACATAGCTCTGTTGAAAACATCATTGAACCTTGGATCCACACCTGGATACTCAAATGCATTCATACCATAAACCCTGTTGAATGGTATACCTCCTTCTATGATAGCACCTTTCATTTCGGTCCTATAAGTCAATGCACATCATGAATTAAAAAAAAAAAAACATCTTAGACTTCAACGTTAAAAGTTCTATCCCCAATAAGAAATATAATTTTTTTTTCAAAAGATATAGACTAGACTAAATTGTACGCTAGAGTTCTTAATTCGTCCAATGGAAAAAGACATTTCCTATACTATTAAAAAGGAAAAAGTATTTGATGTACTTTATTATCACAAATTGATAAGAATAATCATAAAAGATGTTTGGTGTGAGGCGGGTCAACTCGAGATAATTAGGCGAGATATTATCACCAATAAATTAAGTTAGATCATTTACATTAGGAAAAAGTGTTTATTCTTTTAAATGACACAATTTATATCATTTCACTCTCACAAAGAGGTGCGATCCACACCTTTATTTATTTTTTTGTCAATTCTCTCTCCACCTTTATCTATCTCTTTCTCTCTCTTAAAATGACACAACTTTACATCATTTAAAATGATACACATTTTACCCTTTACATTAAATGGATTCAATATCATATTTCAACCCAAATCCTAAGATATTAGATTTATGAGTCCTCTCACTTATATGAATTTTACTTGCTTATTAGTAACTAATAGGAGACTTCATCGTACTTGAATATTCCAACCTGAATAACTTTTTAAAAGTAAGGAACAAGACAAAAACAACTATAATGATTAATACATGTCAAATAAAAACAAGAATAGAAAACAAAGCAAAATACTGACCAACTTTTCATGAAGATCTTGTCCAGTGGTAAGTTCAAGGTGGGTCCGAATGACACACCATCAGCATCGTTCACAAAATACTTGGACATTGGGGTGAGACTATAGAGCCTTTGAGGAGAAGCAAGCCCTTGTTGATCTTCAGAAATTGAACAAGAAACCATGGAGTGACTTGCCAACAACCTAAGAAGACGATCCACCATATTGGGTGCTTCTGGGTTCTTTGCTTTAATTTGAATTGCAATGTCCTCTGCAGAGAGCTTCACACCTTCACCTGCTTTGGCTAGTATGTCAAAGATGCCAAGCTCAACTGCTGATCGAGTTACTAGTGGAACAACAACAGAAGACATCATGTTCACGGCAAAAAGGATGCCATCTTCTTCTTGTACATGTTCTCCTTCATGTGTAAGGTTCTTGGCTTCACCACTATTGGTTTCTAATGAAGGAGCCATAATAATATTTGAATGCTAAAGAAAGCAATTAGGGAAAGAGAGGAATTAGAAGATGTTCTGTATTAATTGAAGCTGCTTTGAGTACATGAAGTTCGTCCTTATATATATATACATATAAATGTGTGTTCCCATAAGATATAGATGGTTCATTAGCACTTTTAGAACCTTTGTGTTGATGTGCATCCCATATTCCCATTTATTATTGTTCGTGCCTACGTGTATTATGATTTTCTTATGATATAATATTATTGTACAATAACCTCACCTCCATTAAGTGGCACCTCCATTAAGTGGCCACTTAATGGAGGTGAGGTTATTTTACAATAATATTTTTAAAGAAAAAATAATAATTCAATCTTTTATGAAAAAATATTTAAAAGTTATTTGATATGGAAACTTTGACTTCATGGGATACACAAGCAATCTGAACGACTTAGAGCCTATTTGAATGAGTTTTTTTTTTTTAAAAGTTACTTTTTTTAAGAAAAAAGCACTTCTCGTTTTTAGTTCGTTTGGATGTCTGCTTTTAAAAAAAGCAAAAGTCACAAAAAAAAGTCAAAAACTTATTTTTTCCAGAAGCTAGAAATTTTAACTTCTAAGAAAAGCAAAAGTTAAAGTCAAATATTTTTTTTAAAAACTAAATATTTTTATAAATATATAAATAACTTTAACTTTTATAAAAATTTAAATAACTTTAACTTTAATAAAAGTTATTTTAAAATAAAAAAGAGATAAAAATTACTTTTTTAGAAGCCCAAACAAACGCTCTTATTCATCCAGGGAATCGATGCATTTAAATCATTTTGGACACTTGTGTTATAAAGTACTCCTTCATATGATATTGTTTTCTCTCTGTCTGTTTTTTTTAGTAAATATTATTTTGGGTCCCTAACAAAAAATACAGTCTCCACTTTAGTCCCTTACAAAAATAAATTAGTCATTTAGTCTCTAACAAATTCAAAGTGGACCCATTTTAGTCCTTTTGAGGAACTAATATGAGTTTTTTTTGAATTTGTGAGGAACCACGATTTCAACTAAATGGGTCCGCTTTGAATTTGTTAGGAACTAACTGACTAATTTATTTTTGTAAGGGACTAAAGTGGAGACCGTGTTTTTTGTTAGGGACCAAAAAAAGGTATTTACTCTTTTTTTTCTCTCTCTCTCTTTTTAAATCTCAAATTTTACTTTGCTTTGTCAATAGTTTGACGTAGTGGCTTCTTTTTGTTTTTGTTTTTTTTCTCATAATGATACTTTTCTGTGATTATTTTCTTATAATGATACTTTAAAAATCAATTTTTTAACTTTGCAGTGTGTAACCATTTGCCATTAACAATTGTTTATTTATAATATTAGCTCCAATGATTCTAATGTAGACTACACGATATGTAACTGTTAGGCGCATGAGGATACGGAGGAACCTTCGTTAAACTGGATGTCGATCTTTTTCTTTCTTTCTTTCTTTTTTTTCCCTCGTAATTTTTTACTCATTTTCTATTTAATTTTTATAACTTTTTAAGAAATTAGTTTTATACTTAGAAAACCATTAGTTTTGTTATAACAAGTGACTTAGTTAATCCATTAATTGTTTCTTTGTTCAGTATAAATGTGCCTCTTGGGACAAAGTTTAAAATGCCTTGGCATTTTAATTCTCAAGATATCATGGCTCAAAAATCGAAAATAATTACTATCATAGTATCATGTTTTATTTTTTTTTCAGGTAAAAGGCGAAAGAATACTGTAAAATATCACGTTTTAGGACCATTATTGTCAACAACAACAGGTATTGAACTCACTGTTGGGCTGATAAGGCCTCACTTCGAGGGTGAGGCAGCCTCCTTAACAATTAAAGAAAACAAGGAAAATACTGAAGATTGCCTTCTCATTCAAGGGTACTCAGAACGTTTAAATACAATGATCTGTGAGTCTCACACCTCACATTCGCATAACAGAATACAAGGGAGAAATAACAAATAACAACGTCCTACTCAGCGTGGTATCCGCTAACTAACTTATTACATAATGCAACCTCTTCTAGAAGGTAAATTCACCGTCACTCAGCTCTTAGATCATGTGATAATCTCTCATCCACTTTGGCTTCTTTTTCTGACGCTTGGCCCATCTAGCTTTAGGAGTAACTAACTGGTCCAGCTCAGCTGTTGTGTCTTCTTCTTCATGGGCTGTGTCTTCATGGGCTGAGTTATCTTCACTGTGCTGGCCCATCATCTGAGGGCTCATATCATCCCCTACCCCATCGAAACCACTCTTGTCCTCAAGAGAAAAAGAAGGGTAGTCTAGTTGCAGATCCGATAGTACTTCCCAAGATGCGTCTTCCGGGTACAGCCCATGCCACTGGATTAATACCCTGGTCGATTTTGGTCCGGATCCGGGTTGAATATCCAGCACCTTCAATGGCTGAACTACAGGTTGATTGCCAATAGCAGTATTTGGCAGAGCGAGGGTCTGATCCGGTGTGTCTGTGTCTCCTGCAAGGAAGGGTTTGAGCAAGGAAGCGTGGAAAACGGGGTGGATCTTGGAGTCGGGTGGTAGTGCCAGCTCAAAGGCAACTGGATTGATGCAACGGGTGATCTGGAACGGGCCATAGAAGCGTTTAACCAGCTTCTGAGAATGGACCTTCGACACCGAGGTTTGACGGTAGGGACGAAGGCGGACCATGACCCAGTCTCCTTCCTTGAATTCGTGGTGTCGTCTATGCTGGTCAGCTGATCTCTTCATGCTCTCTTGAGCTCTCAGAAGGCGACGACGCAGCTTGGCCAATACTGCCTCTCTGTTTCCTAGCTCGACGTCCGCAGCATCTATAACACTGCTGCCCAGAGTGTATGCGGGTATGGTAGGTGGGCTCCTGCCGTAAACAATCTCAAATGGGGTCATGCCCGTAGCGGAGTGGAGTGTGGTGTTATAGCACCATTCTGCCCAATGGAGGAATTTGCCCCACTTGTGAGGGTGTTCGTGAACATACGCGCGTAGGTACTGTTGTAGTGTCCGGTTGACTACTTCCGTCTGACCGTCACTTTGAGGATGGTAGGCTGTTGATAAGCGTAACTTGGTGCCACTGAGCTTAAAAAGCTCTTGCCAAAAATGACTCAAAAATATTGGGTCGCGATCAGAAATCATACTCTTGGGCATCCCATGCAGTTTACACACTAATTGAGAAAACACATCTGCCACTTTGGACGCTGTAAAATGAGTAGGAAGCATGCCAAAGTGTGCTGCCTTGGAGAAACGGTCCACCACAACCAGGATGACCGTGTGGTTTTGGAACGAAGGGAGCCCAACAATGAAATCAAGAGAAACATCCTCTCATACGCGGTTGGGTATGTCAATGGGCTGGAGTAACCCGATGGGGGCTTGAGTAGGAGATTTTATTTGTTGACAGACCAGGCATTGCTTAACAAATTGTGTCACGTCTGCCTTCATTCCGTGCCAGTAGAAATTCTCTTTGAGGCGCCCTATAGTCTTGCTAATACCCATATGGCCAGCCAAAGGGGAAGAGTGGAATTCAGACAGTAATAACTTCTTAATCGGAGATCGGGAGGGAATAAAAATTTTGCCCTTATATAATAGTAAGCCCTGCACAGCTCGCAGGTGTGGTTGGGAGTGAGGGTCTGCCTCCAATTTCTGTAAGAGCGACTGCACCTCAGGCTCTTGTGAATAAGCCTCTTTAAGTTTAGTAACGAATTCAAACTGAGGTACAGTAAGGACAGATAAGGATACAGGTGAGTCCTCTACTCGTGACAAGGCATCCGCAACATGATTAGAGGCTCCCGGCTTGTACACTATAGTGTAGTCATACCCCAAGAGTTTTGACAAGTAGTACTGTTGCTCCGGGGTTTGAATAATCTGTGTCATGAGCTCGCGTAGGCTGCGTTGGTCGGTATGAATGGTGAACTTACGCCCCAGTAAGTACGGTCGCCATTTGCGCACTGCCTCGGTTATGGCATGTAGCTCACGGACATAAGTGGAAGCCTTTGACAACCGGTTGCAGAACTTCTTGCTGAAGAAACAAATCGGGTGCCCCTTTTGTAGTAAAACTGCTCCCATGCCCAGCCCCGAGGCATCAGTTTCCAACACAAATTCTGAATCAAAATCCGGGAGTTGTAACACAGGGGCTTGTGTCATTGCCAATTTCAGATTATCGAACGCTGTGCGTGCTTCATTTGTCCATTCAAAGGAATCTTTCTTAAGCATGTCTGTGAGGGGAGCAGCAATGGCTGCATACCGCTGTACGAATTTTCTGTAGAACCCAGTTAATCCCAGGAAGCCGCGTAGCTGTTTCAAGGTGCTTGGCAGTGGCCACTCGGTCATAGCTCTGATTTTCTCTGGGTCAGGACCAACCCCCCCTGCGGATATGATATGGCCCAGGTAATCAATGGACCTCTGAGCAAATGAACACTTGGATTTCTTGAGGAAGAATTGGTTCTGCAAAAGACATTCAAAGGTTTGCTGCAAGTGTCCTATGTGGTCCTCCTCTGTTTTGCTAAAAACTAATATGTCATCAAAAAACACAATCACAAAACGACGAAGAAAAGGACGGAACAACCTGTTCATAGTTGCTTGAAAAGTCGCTGGTGCGTTGCAGAGCCCAAAGGGCATGACCAGAAACTCGTAATGTCCGTCGTGTGTGCGGAAAGCTGTTTTGGGTGTGTCCACGGGGTCCATCCGTATTTGATGGTACCCGGAGCGTAAATCCAGCTTAGAGAACCAGTAGGCACCGTGGAGCTCGTCCAGAAGCTCTTCAATGGTGGGGATCGGAAAGCGGTCCTTTAAGGTAATTGCGTTCAAGGCGCGGTAGTCTATGCAAAAACGCCACGACCCATCCTTCTTACGGACCAGCAACACCGGCGAGGAGAAGGGACTGGTGCTCCCTTGAATAATTCCTGCGGCAAGCATGTCACTGACCTGCTTCTCAATCTCCCTCTTTTGGAAGAAAGGGTACCGGTATGGGCGAACGTTAACCGGCGTAGAACCCTCCGGTAGAGGAA